TTACACAGTCCTCGTGTTGGACAAGCATTACCTTATAGTCCTCGTGTTGGACACCCTTCCCACTTAGTCTTCGTGTTGGACATGCATTGCTATTTAAATCCTCGTGCTGGATATGTATTACCATTCAGTCCATGCGTTGGACAACGGTCACATCCGGTCCATGCGTTGGACAACAGTCACATCCGGTCCATACGTTGGACAACGGTCACATCCGGTCCATGCGTTGGACAACGGTTATATTCAGTCCATGAGTTGGACGTTTACTTCATGCAGTCCATGGGCTGGACGTTTAATTTACATAGTCTATGTTTGGGACATTTAATCATTTTTTGACATGTCACTCATGTGAGTTTGACATGACACTATGTTTGGAAGTAGAGATGTGTTTCGTTTTCTTTTTAATTTATTATTGTCCCATGTACTAGAACCTCGGGTTTGGTGTTTAGGGATTTACAATTTGAGATACAAGGTATATACATGAGGGTTTCCTTGTTTGGATTATTTCGCTCGACGTACCTATGCTCATGTTGTAAATTTCTAAATACTAAGATCCTCTTTAGTAAGATCAATGATTTTAGATCTATTATGTATTAACTGTATTTTCTTATACAACGAGCCCTGTTCCCTTGGGGTTGGTTGTGATGTTGCTCGCTAGCGCTTTGACGCTCGTTGTCCCTCCCCCTTTCAGGTAACGAGCCAGGAGCCCGGAGAGTCGCAGGTCGATTGCGATGCATTTTAGCTTCAGCTGTCTACTTAGTTATATATTTTTTTGGAGTTCCACAGTAGACTTTTGTTTAGACATTTGAGAGTTCTTATTCTAGAAGTTGTAAAGGCCGTGTGCCTTATTTCCTCTTGTCAGATATTTGTATTTTGAGACTTGTTGAGTATTCCAGTTTATCTATTCAGACATTGACTATGTATTTCTGTGTGTTAGAAGATGAGATATTAATGTGATCACTATCATTTCATCAGTTGTTTCTTGTATTATCTTTTACCTGCTTTTGTACCTACACCTGTTGTTGACTCTACTAGATAGATGTTAATTGTGATGGTGAAACATGTTATTGTACGGTGTGGTGCATGGCAGGTTTGACATTCTTGGTTTCACCTTGGACTGCAGCATTGAGTGAACCCAGGGGCGTCACAATATAATATTATATATAATATATATAATATATATATAGATATATTATATATAATATAAATGTATAATATATTAATACTATAATATATATATATATATAATATAATATGATATAATAATATATATCCGACTTATTATATTGTATATATTATATTATAATATCATATTATACTAATATATTACTATATATAGAGGCAGATATGGGTAATGCTTACGTACAAGGCACAAATTTTGGAGCTTGCGTTAGTTGAGGTTGGAATATTATCCTCCACTGATTTCAAATCGCCGGGACAATTCCATGGGTTCGCAAATGTGGTCCCCCAATGATATGAGTGGATGGGAATCAGGAGAACAGCCTCAAATACATGAAAGCACAGATTTAGTAGCTTCCCTCCCGGTACAAAGCATCACCCATTTTTCTCAATATATAGTATAATATTATATATATATATTATATAATATATATATAATATTATATATAATATATATAATATATATATAATGCTACAGTAGTTTACTGCAGCATTTACTACAGCATGAACAGTGATTCTTGGGTCCTCCTATGAGGAATAGATGTATTATATTTAATATTATATTATTATAATATTATATATAATATATTAATTTTATATTATATTAATTATTGTATAGTATAGCATGCTAATATAATATAATATAATAGTTTTTTAATAATATATAGGTGCAATAACCAACCCAAATCCTCTCTCAAAAATAGGATTTCACAAATTCTAAAATATAATAGTTTTTTATAATTTGGGGATTCAATATCCCAAAATTGGTTTTGAAACAAACATTGTTTATGGAATTCTAAAACCCTCAAAACTTGTAATCCACCTTATATCTCAAAAAAAAGTTGAAACAAAAGGGAAGATTTCACAAATCCTAAAAATATATTATTTTTTTATAATTTAGGGATTCAATATTCCAAAATTAATTTTAAAACAAACAAAGTTTATGGAATCGCAAAACTCAAAAAAGCACTTTTTACATCTAAAAACTTAAAATCCATCCTATATTTCAAAAAAAAAGTGAAACAAACACCTCCTAAAGCTTTAAAGTCAGAAACCCTCTCCTCTTTCCGCAACAGAACGAAGAAAAAAAAGAAAAAAAAATCCAGCGTTTTCCTTCCCTTTTGCTCTCAATATGGGAAACCCAGGAATTCTCAACAGGCAGCAGCAGCATCATCATCTCCTCCCCTCTTCCTCCGACGCGACCACCAACTCGTGGGCCCAACACCGGCGTGAGGCCCTCCGCCGCCTCTCCGAAAACCTCGCCGCCGCCTTCGCTCCCCGAATTCATCCCTTCACAGACGTCGTCATCTCGTGGCCCGGATGTGGTCGGGCCCACGTTGCGTTCTCCTCGCAAGAAGCCCGTTTCTCAGAGGCGTTTTCTCGAGAAATCAAAGAGAAGGAAAGGGAACCCGATTAAGCTCGAGTTGAAGGTTTGGTGAAGGTTTTGAAGTTGGGTTCGACGGCGCTGGTCGGGTTTGGGGTACCTGTACAGTGGAAGGTGGGCCCGCTGCCGGGGGGTCTGCGTCTGCGTGACGAGGAGTGTGGCCCATGTCGGGTTTCCGCGGCCGGTGGATTTCATGGTGGAGGTGATGTACATGGCGTTTGTGTTCCAGATTCATGAGCTTGTCAGCTTGTTTCAGGTATTGGGCTTTTATGCGTTGCTGGGGGTTCTGGGCCCTACTCTGAGTAGTGGGTAGTCGCCAAAACTGCATCTTGTTTTGGGGATTGATGAATATGAGTATTGATGTGTCAAGGAACAACTCTTTGTTCTTTGTTGAATAGCATTTAGATCTTTCTATGTTTTGGATCGTGATTTCCCCCCCTTTTTGATTGGGCTGTTTTGGGAAATAAGTTGGACGTCTGAGTTCCCTTGGGTTGATAAAGATAAATATTTATGACAGGGTCATGTTAGATTATTTATATCTGTCCCTATATTTTCACACGTTACACCAGTCCTCGGTGTGGAGCAAGCATTACATATAGTCCTCGTGTTGGCCACCCTTCCGCACTTAGTCTTCGTGTTGGAACATGGCATTGCTGATTTAAATCCTCGTGCTGGATATGTATTACACAGCTTTCAGTTCCATGCGTTGGACAACGGTCACGTCCGGTTCATGCGTGGACAACAGTCACATCCGGTCATAGTTGGACAACGTCCACATCCGGGTCCATGCGTTGGACACAGGTTTATATTCAGTCGATGAGTTGGACGTTTACTTCATGGGCAGTCCATGGGCTGAGGAAGTTTAATTTACATAGTCTATGGTTTGGGGACATTTAATCTTTTCTTTGGACATGTCACTCATGTGAGTTTGACATGACACTATGTTTGGGAAGTAGAAGATGTGTTTCGTTTTCATTGTTAATGTTATCTATTGTCCCATGTACTAGAACCTGGGTTGGTGTTTAGCGGATTACAATTTGAGATACAAGGTCATATATGACGGGTTTCCTTGTTTGGATTATTTCGGGCTCGTTACGTACCTATGCTCCATGTTGTAAATTTCTAAGTACTAAGATCCTCTTAGTACAGATTCAATGATTTTAGATGCTAAACATATGAGAAATATGGGTCCTTGTCCAAACACAAATTTATGTTGGTAGTGATGTTGTCACATATCCCATCCCATCTCCACTATCCATGTGAATTAGTTCTCCACATTTGAATGAGTGGAGCGAGAATTGACACCCTCACTACCAAAGACAGCTTTTTGGTGCTTGTACGCACACTAACCCATATGTTCTCATAATATATAATATATAATATATATATAATAAATATTATATATAATATATATATATATTATATATAATTATATATGATAATATATTATAATTATATATATATAATGCTAAAGTAGTTTACTCAGTATTTACTATCACATGAACCGTGATTCTGTATCATATACATGATTATATAAAATAATAATATTATATATAATTATAATTATATATAATATTATATATTATAATAATAATATATATATATATATAATAATATAAAAAATCATATATAATATTAATATAAATATAATAATATAGTAAATCCTATCAAGTATTTGTTGTATAGCATTTACTATCGCATGATATTAGTGATTCTTGTAATATAATATATAATAATATATATAATATATCTAAATATTCTACGAGCGCGAGTATCGATGCACCCCGGAGATTGGAAATTTCAGGAGGATTTGAGCTACTGTCGAATCTCCGATTTGTATTCTTGCCATGAGAGACACAAGCTTAGAAGCACATGTAATTCGCTTGGTGAAAGTTCAGTGGAACCGATGATGGCATTGATCGAGATTTCTTGGAGCATCGAGAGGATTTGCGTCGGCGACTACCCACACTGTTTTGAAACAGGTAAATTAAAAAATTTTATGATGTGTATCTTGTATGATGTTTATATCTTTGGTTATATTTAATATTATAACACTATAATGGGAATATGTCGGCTTAATTTTCAATCTTTCGAAGAACAGCATGTATATATATGCGGGGTTCCTTGTTTGGATTTTTTTACCCGATGTACTAGTTTTCCACTAGATTAGGGTTTTTTTTTTTTTTTATTTTTTTTTTTTTTTTTTGAGCGGGAACAAATAAATCATTTTAGATCGTTAAAGTATAAATATCCTATAATGTTATCTGGAAGTTCATGTTGTGAGATGCGGTATGTTTCCGAATTCGATGACGAAATTCTATACTAGGGGGAAGAAATGTACCCGTAATTTTTTTTATATGAATTGATGTGAATATATTAGTAAATAAATAATCTCTTTTTGATAAATAGGCTTGAGTCATTGATAGTAACAATGAGAAAAACCAAGTTTTTATTGAGGATGATATGGAGAGTATGAGTGTGAGTTTGTGCGTGGTTTTGTAAATAAGTATAAAACAGCAAAAAAATATTGTTCCAATGATCAGTCGACACATCAGTCCGCTGACTGTATCGTGCGACACATCAGTCGACTGATACGCTGATTTCTAGTTTTTTCAGTTCTGGGCTGTTTTGTTTGGTTCGGGTTTGTGGTCGGATTTAACTTGTTGGTGTATATATTCATCCCCCGAAAATGCCACCCCTCAACTCTCAGAACTGAGAAAACCCTAGCCCCTCTCCGCCTATCTCAAACCTAGCCTTGCTCTTGGCTGATTTGGGAGAACTTGTAGGATTTTCGAAAATTTCACATTGCAGCAAGAGGATCCAAAACTCTCCTCAGACTAGGAGTGTTCATGTCACCAGAGGCGATCATCTCGGCCAACTCTGACCTTTGTTTTTAGCAAGAATTTATTAGTTTAATGAGTTTTGATTTAGACCAAAAAACGTATTTTAGTAACAAAGAATGATCTTATGGTATATGAGGTGGGGTTTTGAGCTCTAGTTATAATAAGAAGACCACACAATGTTTTATTAAAGGAGATCTAGTTTGAAGATGTGTGTATAAGAGATTTAACATGAGTTTTTGTTTAACCATGAGATTTAACATGAGTTTTTGTTTAAAAATGTTAAAAACATAAATACCAATGTTTAAGACGGTTTTGTTCATGTATTCACTTATGGGATTTCTGTTTCAGTTAGTTTTTACATGTTAATATCAGTATTTCATGCTTGGGGATGATGAAATGAGTTTAGATCGAATTTGGTGTATATAGCAATCTTGTGCAGAGGTTCTGCATCTGTCGTTCGACTGATCAGTCGACCGACGAGCACATTTTTATAGGCCATCAGTCGACTCGATCAGTTCAGACATGATGGGCTGTTTTGTTTTTCTCGCTTCTCAGTCGACTGGTCAGTCGACTGTGAGCTGAAGGCTGTCTGGCCGAGCCATCAGTCGACATATGAGTCGACTGACAGTCATCATCGACACATCGAGTCGACTGATGAGCTGTTTTACAGATTTTGAGTCTGTTGAGTTGTCTTTCGGGGGTCAGCCCTCCGATAACCGTGACCCTAGCTTAATCATGTAATGACTTATCTGTACATGTGGTATACTTGATGACACAAAAGGTTTTAAGACATGTACCCGAGATCCGGGTGAGTTTAGATTATTTAATCTGTCCCCTATATTTTCAGCAGTTAACAGTCTCCGTGTTGGACAAGCTTACCTATAGTCCTCGTGTTGGACACCCTTCCGCACTTAGTCTTCCGTGTTGGACATGCATTGCTATTTAAATGCTGCGTGCTGGATATGTATTACATTCAGTTCCAATGCTGGACAACGGTCCATCCGGTTCCATGCGTGTGACAAGCAGTCACATTCCGGTCCAGTAGTTGGACAACGTCAGCATCCGGTCCATGCGTTGGACAACGTTATATCGTCCATGATTGGAGCGTTTACTTCAATGGCAGTCCATAGGCTGAGGATCGTTTAATTTACATAGTCTATGTTGGGGACTTTAATCATTTTTTGACATAGTCACTCATGTGAGTTTGACATGACACTATGTTTGAAGTAGAAGATGCTTTTCGTTTCTCTTTTATTTATTATTGTCCCATGTACTAGAACTCCGGTGGTTGGTGTTTAGGGATTTACAATTTGAGATACAAGGTATATAATGAGCGGTTTCGCTTGTTTGGATTATTCGGGCTCGATTCGTCCTTATTGCTCATGTTGTAAATTTCTTAAATACTAAGATCGTCTTTAGTTAAGATTCAACTGATTTAGATGCTATTAGTATTAATGTATTTTCTTATACAACAGCCTGTTCCGCTTGGGGTTGGTTGTGATGTTGGCTCCGCTAGCTGCTTTGACGCTCGTTGTCCCTCCCCGTTTTCAGGTAACGAGCCAGGAGCCCCGAGAGTCACGCTAGGTCGATTGCGATGCATTTAGCTTCAGCTGTCATACTTAGTTATATATTTTTTTGGAGTTCCACAAGTAGACTTTTGTGTACTGATTTGAGAGTTCTTATTTAAGAAGTTGTAAGAGAGCCGTTGCCTTATTTCTCTATTGTCAGATATTTGTATTTTGAGAGCTTGTGAGTATTCCAGTTTTATCTATTCAGACATTGAACTATTGATTTGCTGTGTGTTTAGAAGATGAGATATTAATGTGATCACTATCATTTCGTCAGTTGTTTTGCTTGTATTACTTTTACCATGCTTTGGACCTACACCTGTTGTTGTGACTCTACTAGAATTAGATGTTAATTGTGATGGTGAAACATGTTATTGTAGGTGTGGTGCATGGCAGGTTTTGACATTCTTTGGTTTCACGCTTGGACTGCAAGACATTGAGTAACGGCCAGGGGCGTCCACAATATAATATATATATATATATATATAATATATATATTATTATATATTATATATATATATAGTATATATATATATAGTATATATATATATATATATAATAATATAATACATATATAATAATATATATATATATATAATAATATAATATGTAAATATATAATACTATACTATATTATATATTATATATAATATAATTATAATATATATATATATAGTAGACGGAATATGGGTATGCTTGTACCAAGCACAAATTTGTGCTGTCAGGAGGTGGGAATATTATCCTCCCACTCATTCAAATGGGGGGACCACATTCACATGGTTGAATGTGTCGCCCGCAATTGAATGAGTGGATGGGAATGAGCACCCGTCACTACAAGCACAAAATTTGTGCTTGGTACAAGCATACCCATTTTCTCTATATATATATATATCTATTAATATTATATATATTATATATATATATATATATATATATATATATATATATATATATTATATAAATATAATAAAATGCTAAGTTAGTTTATTTGGCAGCATTTTACTACAGCATGACAAGGATTCTTGGGTCCTCCTATAGAGGAATAGATGTATTATAGTTTAATATTATACTTATTATAAATATATATATATAAGTATATTAATTTTAATATTATATTATTATTGTGATAGGTATAGCCATGCAAATATAATATAATATTAATAGTTTTTTAATAATATATAGGTGCAATAACCAACACCCAAATCCGTCTCTCAAATAATTAGGATTTCACAAATTCTGAAAAATAACTAGTTTTTTATAATTGGGGAATTCAATATCAAAATTGGTTGAAAACAAACATTGTTTATGGAATTCTAAAACCTCAAAACTGTAATCCACCTTATATCTCAAAAAAAATGAAACAAAAGGAAAGATTTCACAAATCTAAAAATATATTTATTTTTTTATATTTAGGGATTCAATAGTCCAAAATTTAATTTTAAAAACAAACAAAGTTTATGGAATATCGCAAAACTCAAAAAAAGCACTTTTTTAGCAATCTAACAAACTTAAAATCCATCCTATATTTCAAAAAAAGAGTGAAACACAACACCATCCTATAAGCTTTAAAGTCGAGAAACCCTCTCCTCTTCGCGCAAGCAGAACGAAGAAAAAAAGAAAAAAAATCCAGCGTTTTCCTTCCCTTTGCTCTCGAATAGGAAACCCCAGGAATTCTCAACAGGCAGCAGCAGCAGCATCATCATCTCCTCCCGCCTCTCTCCCGACGCGACCCAACTCGTGGGCCCACACACCGGCGTGAGGCCCTCCGCGCGCCTCTCCGAAAACCTCGCCGCCGCCTTCGCCCCGGAATTCATTCCACTTCAGGCGTCCAATCTCGTGGCCTGCCGATGTAGGTCGGCCGCACGGTTGCGTTCTCTCTCGCAAGAAGCCCGTTTCTCAGAGGCGTTTTCTCGAAAGAAATCAAAGAGAAGGAAAGGGAAACCCGATTAAGCTCGAGTTTGAAGATTATGGTGAAGGTTTTGTAATGTTGGTTCGACGGCGCTGGTCGGGTTTTGGGTACCTGTACAGTGGAAGGTGGGCCCGCTGCCGAGGGGGTCTGCGTCTGGCGTGGACGAGGAGTGTGGCCATGTCGGGTCCGCGGCGGTGGATTTCTGGTGGAGGTGATGTAGCATGCGTTTTGGTGTTCCAGATCATTGACTTGTCACTTGTTTCGGTATTGGGGGCTTTTTGCGTTGCTGGGTTCTGGCCCTAGCTCTGAGTAGTGGGTAATCGCCAAAACTGGCATCTTGTTTTGGGATTGATGAAATATGAGTATCGATGTGTCAAGGACAATCATCTTGTTCTTTGTTGAAAGCAAATTTAGATCTTTCTATGTTTTTGGATCGTGATTTCCCACCCCTTTTTGATGGGGCTTTTTGCTGTTTTTGGGAAATAAGTTGGCACTCTGAGTCTCCTTGGGTTGATAAAGATAAATATTTATGACAGGGTCATTATTAGAACAGCAGTCTATGGCGGGGAGTTTTGAGGGAAAGAGCTAATATGAAAGAAATACTGTTGCCTTGAGATGTTTTCGGACATTTCAAATTGTACCTCTATTATGTATGTTCATTTTTAATATCTGAAATTGAGGCCTGAATATCTCTTTAAGTAGTTTAAGCTTATGTTAAAGAGTTTGTTAACTGCCAGTTTGTTTTATTGCAGCGTCACCTCCTTGATATTATTGAAAGAGTGGCCGTAGACGACATACCCGTAATCTTATCCGTCGCAAACTTATGCAGCAAATCTTACACTCGGTTGATTAATAGGTGCATCGAAATTATAGTCAAATCAGACCTCGATGCTGGCACGCTCGAGAAGCCATTACCGCCTGATATACTCAAACAAATCATGGACTCACGATTAAAGCAAGGTTTAACCGAACCTGGAACTGATTCCACTGACAAACATGTGAAACGATTACATAGAGCTCTTGAATCAGACGATGTTGAATTAGTAAGAATGCTACTGAAAGAGGGGCACACTAGTCTTGATGATGCATGTGCACTTCATTATGCAGTAGCACATTGCGACTCCAAAATCACCACAGAGCTTCTTGATCTAGGGTTAGCAGATGTCAACCATAGAAATCTCAGAGGTTATACTGTGCTTCACATTGCTGCAATGAGGAAGGAACCAAAGATCATTGTTTCTCTTTTAACAAAGGGAGCTAGGCCCTCTGATCTTACATTGGATGGAAGAAAAGCTCTTCAGATTGCTAAAAGGGTTACTAAGTCTGTTGATTTTTATAAATCTACCGAAGAAGGGAAATCATCTCCCAAAGATCGGTTGTGCATTGAGATATTGGAACAAGCTGAGAGAAGAGATCCTTTGATAGGAGAAGCTTCAGTTTCTCTTGCAATGGCTGGTGATGATCTGCGCGGGAGACTCTTGTACCTTGAGAATCGAGGTTATTTTTTTTATACTCAGTTATGCATCATTTTGTTAGCTTCGTAGGATGCTTGACGTATTTTGTTCTGCATATCAATTAAGATTAGATTGTATTATGTTTCCAATCAGGCCCGATGTGAACTGTTTGCAACCAACTTATAGCATACTAATCAGTGACCATACTCAAGCATAAAATAAAAGTAGCTATGTTAGCTTGTGCAGCTTGAAATTTTAGTTTATATCCTTTAGTTGTGTAGAGTGCAGTTATGCATACATGCCTTGTAGTTTTTCTTGTGTAAAACATGATGCAAGATTGATTTTCTGTTTTATTTCTCCAGTAAACTGCTTCAGTATAGCTATGTTAATCATGCACAAGTATATAGCTAGTGTTTCCAATTTTAATAATAGAACTCTTCCTTGCTTTTGTGTGCTATTGTGAGCCAATGGTTTTAGGTCCTTAAATAGTGAAGAATTCTACATATACTTATATCTCACACACCCTGGCCTCATGCTCCCCCTCTGTATTGAGACCAACAATACTTTTTGGGATCTGGAATAACCCAGGTTAGCAAACTATAGAACCTGGAGTACTTGTTATATCCAACTATTTCTTTTTTGCCAAGTCGATGTGTAGACAAGAAAACTTGAATGATTTCACTTTTAGCTTTTAGAATTCTGGAAGTACTTCTCCACTTCAACCATTCTGAATTGGTTCTGTGAACCATGTCTTCACTCTAAATAATTGATTCTAAGTTGCAAAAAATGGATGACTTCAATGTATTTCTTGATCAACAATACACGATCATTCCTTCTCACAATTTTGCTAAGTTGCATTAGAGCTTTCTTCAGTATGATGAACTAACGTTGTAATCATCAATAAACATCATAGCTTTTCAGTGATACATGGTATTGGGTTTTGTTGATTTATTTGTTTAATTTCATTTGCAGTTGCTCTTGCAAGAATGTTATTCCCTATGGAAGCAAAAGTAGCAATGGACATTGCTCAGGTGGATGGAACTTTGGAATTCACTTTAGGTTCCACATCAGACCACCAAACTGGAGCTCAGAGGTCAACAGTGGACTTGAATGAAACACCCTTCAAAATCAAGGAAGAGCATTTGTCTCGAATTAAAGCACTCTCAAGGACAGGTAATTTAGTTGCATTTCACTTTTCTTTCTGTGTATCTGGCAGTATATCTATATCTTTATTACATGCACTGGAAACACAAAACATTCAGTAAATTCATTTTGTTTAATTTAAATATTGAACTTCGTTTGGTACAACATACTGCGCAAATTGTGTAGGGACTAGGGAGTGACTAATTTGCTCCCACAAGTAAGTAGCTAATTACTTTTAGCTTCCATTACCATTTGATGTGCTGATCTTTACGTATCTCTGTGCATTTATGCTGAGGGATACTTGGGTAACTAGGCTAGTTACAGAAAGCAAATTAGCCATTCCTGTAATGTATATTTGCAAGCATGCATTTGAGTAAAGAATTGATGTTAATATTAGTCCCTCAAATCTTCCACATTTTGAGATTAGTCCCCCAAATATCAGCCTGCAAAGTCATATAAATTGTTTGAAATTAGTCCCCTAGTTAGCACCAATTTGAACTGGGGGGAATATCCCTTCAACTTTAACTTTTTAGGGTGGAATGCAATTACTCCCTTTCAATAAACCCAATCATGATTTGGGGGCGAGAGAGATAGATCTTGATGTTGGTTCTGAGAGCTCTCAAGTGAGCTCGGGAGATTGAGAGGGAGGGAGGCACTAATTTCAAACATCTTATATGGTCTAAACTCCAGATCCTATCATTTATGCAGAACATTTGAATTTTTCATTCTCATTTTTCCATATGAATTATGAATAATATACAAAACGTTAAATGCAGACATACCATGTAAAATTGTGTAGTGAGAGATGCGCTAGATAACTACTAATTCATAGTCCCTACATAACTTCAACCATCCAACAAGCCTTATACAGTTTAATGTTTCATGTAGACTAGAAATGTAGTCAGCTTAGCATATGGTAGTGGAGCGAGGATTTTTGTCCAAGCAGCTAGAAGCTAATGTAAAATGGAAACTGGTGCTTGAAATAAAATTGGAACCAGTGGTGACATTAAGCAATTTTAGGATATTAAAAAAATGAAATGTCACATGAACAATATAAAAGTTTCATTATTTTATTTTCAAAATTTCAGTTGTAAGTACCAAGTTCACCTACATGCTTTTCTTTGTTGGCTTTGTGGTGATTTTACCTTGCATCAAGATTTAGAAGATTTTATCGCTATATGGAGTAACCCTTTCATCTTTATGTTTTATTGTTGTTATTAAGATTTTTATTGTTCTTTAGTAGATATGTATTTTTCATAATTTTCTTATATTTCCCTTCTTATCTATTCTATACTTTTTAGTTTTTGACAATTACCTGGAAATTTTTGCTGTTAATGCCCTCAAACTGAAATAAATTGGGGATAATACTGGGCCTTTGCAATATTGTTTTGGCTTTGCGTTTTGTAGACTGTGGTTTCTTTTACCAAAGCGATTAGGTCAGTATCTTATTGCATTCTCCAAAAGTTTCCATTTTTTTCTGGATTATCTAGGTACAGATTCTCATTTGAAATAAAAATCAGGTTTACCTTTAGCAGTAAAAATTTGGGTTAATTGCTCATGGTCCACCACAGTATGACGTTTTGAACTTATTACCCTGTAGTTTCATGTTAGCAGATAGACACCCTGAATGAATCTTTTTGACTCTTTTACCCTGAATGAACTTATTACACTGGGCGTTTGCAATAATTACTTTTTACAGTTACGGATGGAAGAGTCAAAAATTTCAATCCAGGGGTCTATTTGCCAAACTAAAACTACATGTAATAAGTTCAAAAATGCCATTATTACAGGGACTCTGTGTGCAATTAACCCTAAAAATTATCATAAGACGTGCGCAAGAGAGGATACTTGTTTGGAGTAGTTTGTATTGTCTAGCTAATTGAACTCATTGAGCACGAGCAATCCTGCAAAAGGGAAAAGAAACATAGTACACAATAAAGGAATAGAGTGCAAAACGAATTTTTTATGGACAATTTGTTTATAGCTAAGAAGACTTGTAGAAGTCCTCCCAAGTATATGGTGGTTTTGGGTATCATCTTGGCGTTTAGGATACATATGCAATAAATGTACATATGCCATACAACTCAGATACATCATAAGATTTAGGATATCTAAGAAGATTAATCTAGAATATATTCACCATTACCCTGAGATACATAATCTACATGGTCCTGACTTTGCAACTTTTCTGTTCAAATTAACCCTGCTCTTTATTACATATGCTGAAAATTCTAGAAAGCCTTGCAACCAGTATTATTCTAAACTGTCAAGTGCCAAGCCTTGAACTTCATATCTTTATGAAAAGGATGCCATCATCCGCAACTAATAGCTTTAATCTTTCTGATAATCCGAAATGTTTCACCAGTGGAACTTGGGAAGCGGTTCTTTCCTCGATGTTCTGAGGTTCTCAACAGAATCATGGATGATGAGCTCACCGATATTGCTTCATTTGGAAGTGACAACTCTTCAGAAGAAAGAAGAAGAAGATATCTGGAACTGCAGGGTGTACTCGAAAAAGCATTCACAGCAGATAAAGAGGAATTTGATAGATCCACTATATCTTCATCATCGTCTACATCAATAGGAGCTACTCGAATAAGGAGGAGATAATTCCTTTTTTCTTTGGAGTTGTAGGCATTTCATTTTCCTTTTCATAGTTTGTATATTTTGGTGGTCATATGTATATGTATTGGAGCGATCTTGTGGTAACTGCCCAAGTCAA